GAATGGCCTCTGTGCTATTTCTCAGATTTTAGTGGTATCTGCAAATACCATTAACAAGAGACCTGCTCTAAGATCTTTCCTGGAAGTGCTGTTTTGGAAACTGCATAACCCGCTATATCCAATCCCTAATAACGCCCAGCTGAGCACTTCCATTATTCTTCTTTTACCAAGGCTTCCCACCCTATTCCAGGGCCAGTGATGCCTCCCAAAACCCTCTGGAAGCCAGCGCAGGACAGAGGACGTCACCAAGAGCTGAACGCAGGGCTTGCCTCGAAGTCACATGCTTTGTAGTGCCGCCTTTCTCTTCATCGGGTGCCAACACGTCACGAGCGCGCCGGCAGCAGGCAGGGCGCCTGGGGCAAAAACCACACGAACAAGCCGGGGCAGCGAGTGTTAGCCGGGGTCTGCATGGGAACCCCCGGAGCGAGGAAGAGCAGGCACAACGGAGATCCCTGCGGGCGGAAGGGACGGGGCAGAGCTCACCCGGCCTCCTTTCCCTTGCCTTCGTTTGCAGCCGTTGCTTGGGCTGCATTCCCATGTCATGCGTGGGAGTCACAGTCACGYGACTGCGCAGCTGGCCCCGTGCCTCAAGTCACGGAGAAGACTCCGTGCTCAGCTCCATGGRGTCATGGAGAGAAGTACACCATGCACGAGGGCCAGGCCTGAACCTTGTTCTCACCAATGAGGTAGGCAAAAGCCCGCTTCCCAACAAGGAGAACCTCAGATACGGGGGTAAAACATCACTGGGAACATCTAAGCTGAATTTAACAGTGATGGGAAAACAAACAAACGGTGGCGGTTGCAGCTGGTTTCACACTGACAAGCCCCTCGGGCACTAAGCCGTGCCACCTGCAATAAGCTAAGGGTCACTGCAAGTCCACACCAAAGGCTGTCCTTTCTGTCCAGGCATGGGAAGAAGAGGCACGAGGTGTCAGCGTGCGCAAGGGGCAGCGAGGCCAGCAGGGAGCCAAGGCAAAGGCACAGCAAGGGGCTCTCTGGCGTGCCACAGCTGGCCCTCCTCTCCCAGCCAGGTCACCAACCTGCTTGGACGTTAGTCAAGCACTGCCAGCAGGCAGGGCTGTACATGACACACGGAACGATCTGTCCTTCCATCTCCTCTCCGGAGCATGCAGGACCCGGGAAGAGCTGGCAAAGATGCTCCTCATTTGTAGCACACTAGAAACTGATGCAACCCTCAATCCCCAAACAAACAGCATTCAACCTCCGTACRACTAACGTCAGGCTACAGCTCAGAATTTCGATTACAGCTGGCCTTGGCCTGAGCAAACAGCAGATCCTGCTRTGGTGAGGCCTGCAGACAGCAGCTCCTGTCCTTCCCCTGGCTTCTCTGTTCAGACTGAGCTGTCTCGAACATGAAATGCCTGCAGAGATGAAGGATAGAGCTCTGATCTCAGCTTGAAACATCTACACAAGCCACAGGATGCAGCGGCGAGAGCAGCATGTGATGGAGGAGGAGGGGGAGGGCAGGCAGCTCCTTTCGTCACCAAACCTCCAAGGGGGACGTTGCCCCTTGGTGCTGGAAGGAGACTCGGCACCTCTGTCCACACAGCAAGTTTGAAGGGGCTGTTTTGCCCCCTGAGCTGCTGCAGTTTGAAACAGGTTAACTCCAGCCACCCAGCTGGGCCAGTTTCCGAAAAACAAGCTCCTTTTGCTTGTGTGGCTTTTAAGATGGAAGAGCGCTCGCTTTCTGCAGCAAGCAGGTTTCCAAGCAATCAGGAGCTCCCGAAACGACCTGTTTCAATTAACATTTTACTTATTTATGGAGCCCGCACGAAGTTCAAAGGCTGCAGGTCACATCCCTCCTCGGAGCTTCCCAGCCCCAAACAGCTGCTATGGAGCCGGGGGCAGCAAGGCAGAAGGGCTTCGTGTCTGAAAGGAAGCTGGACGGCTCCACGCAAACAGGAAGGGTCTAGAGGAACCTTTCATCTCCCCAGCGCCRGCTGCAGGACCAGGTGTGACAGGATCACAGTGCCCACACCAGTCTGTTTTACTTCCAAGAAGATCCTGGAGCTGCACATTGGAGCATGGCCCCTGTATTACACAGCCGGGGTGTCACCTAAGGGTGCTGAAAGCCCCACCATAAGGCGGGGTGGTAAAAAAACCACCTCATGCACCCATGTCTTGTCTACTGTAGGGCAGCAGTTGTGTGACRGAGCTCAGGCCAGGGCAGGTCTCTCCATCTCCAGCAGTAAAAGCTGGGGGTTGTGTCTCTGTTGGGGACACATCACCTTCCACCTTCACGTTGGTTTTGTTGGCGAGTCTCACTCCAGCTGCACGAGGCAGGTCCGCTCCCTGCAAGACCCCTATTCCACCATGGATCCCCTTGGAAGTGTTCTCATCAGAGATGCTCAGGAGAGACYGTTCTCTAGGATCCTCCTTCCAGTGCTCCCAGGAAACCTGAGCGTCCTCACAACAGCAAGTGCTTCATCCATCCTCCTCTGCAAACTCACCCATCTCCTGYGGGCAACGAGCAGCATACACCATCTTATAGCACCTCATCTGCTCCAGATCCTACAGCTCTTAATGGGGAAYTGCTGCCGTCTAAATTGGCCTGCAAACCCCATGGGCAAGAGCCAGTTTTGCTGACTGTTGGTAAAATGCCATACGCACCTCTGTGTTATAATGAAGTCTAAGGCACAGCATGACCCGAGCACAAGGTCMTTCTCCAGGGAAGGGACAAGAACTTTTGCTTTTACTGAAGCTCATTGCACATGATGGGCCAAAGGGAGCTTCAAAATGGCCCTGGCGGGGGACACGACGGACTGACTATGAGCAGAAAGAAAAGCAAACGGTATCTTGGGAGATGGCCTTCAAAGTATTTCCAGTATACAAYAGAGCACATATGGAAGGGATCTTATAGAAACCATAGAAAGGGAGAGCCCATCATTGCTAGAAGAGTTTGGCTTGTAGAGCCCAGCAATATTAAGGCTGCAATCACAACCATACTTAGCCTATAAAGACACTCAGGGGAAAATACTAGGAAGGGAAAAGCATTATTTAAACTGAAGGGCACAAAAGCACAAAAATAAATGGATTAAAAGAAAAAAAAAAAAGATTTATGGATTTATGGTGGAAGGCGCTTGCCACCAGAGCAACTGAACTTTCCCCCAGCAGAGAGCAAAAAGGCCAAGAATACCAAGAATTTTGTTTTTCAAGTCAAGTTCAACCAATTTATGAAAGGTGCCATAACGGATTAGATGGTTACAATGAGAAGCCACCTTGGTTTCAAGTTAAAAAAGAAAAACAACAACAACAACAAAAAAAGGCAACTAAATACCTGAGGTGACCTTGTGGCTCCYTGGCTGCGCAGAGGGAGAGAAGCTAAGGCAAGAAAAGAAGAAGAGGCAAGAAAAAAACAAGCTGGGGAAGAACATGAGCAGGAACTTCTAGGCAGGGGGAGAAAAGCCACACGCAAAGCCTTGCACGGGGACAGCCGGGCCAGTTTTTCCTTGCCGGACTGGTGACCTGRAGCACCTCCAAGTCCTGCACAAGGATATTAATTTCTCCAGCCAAGAGCAGATCGGCCATACGCTGCCGGGGGCAAGTCCCGGTCTGTCCTCTGTCAAGGTCASGCAGCAAAACATGGGGTCCCAAGGAGACGCTGCTCCCTTTGCTGCTGGGGGACATCTCACAGAGCAGGTAGCCGAGCTCAGGGAGAGAGCCAACAGCACCGGGGTGCCACCAAAGCAGAGAAGGTGCCTAGAAAAAAAGACGTATTTGCCGTCCTCCCGCTCCCCCTCGCACCCTTGGGAAGCCAGATCCCTGCAGCGCTCGCATGAAGTCGTTTTGCAAAAAGAAAGGGAGAGAGGAAAAGGAAATTCTGCCCCAGAGATTAGGAGCGGGGCCGKGTTTTTAGGTCACACCGCGTTCCCGGCTCGCCGCGGTAGCCGCACCGTGCGCCGCGCGGTAAACAAGCCCGGGCGGCCGCATCCAGCGCTCCGCAGCCSCCTCCCGCAGGGAAGCTGCTCCCGTTCCCACGCACAGCAAGGGGACCTGTTCGCCGCCACAGGCCGGGCACCCCTCTCCCAGAGCCGCCACCTTCCCTTCTCCCCGCGTGGTGTATTTTTATTGCCATTATTTTTCGGAGCGAGGCCCCCATGCGCCTCGGCTCCGGGCCCGGCGCTCGCGCTCCCCCTTGGCACCGCCTGCCCCCTCCCCGTCCCCGCTCCCGGCTCCCATCTCCATCTGCCCTCAGCTCCGCGCTGCAGCTCGCGGCTCCCTTAATCCCAGTGACCTTCTTGCACATAYGCTCCGGCCCCGCCGCGGGATCAGTGTCACAGCAGGAGACCTTCCCCGGGGCCAGGCGGCAAAGCGGGGGGACCTGGTGGGACCCCCCTCGCCCTCCCCACGGCTCCTGCCAGGGCCCCCAGCCRCTCCTGGCCCCCGGCCCCTTTCTCCCTAGCACAGAAGGGAAACAAATTGCAGGAGTGGGTGGGAAGGAATTACAGGGAAAAGAGGTTGAAGGGGTGAGGGGGAGAGGACGAAATGCAGCAGGACTTCCAGCCCCCTACCTTCCCCCTAACAACCCAAGCAGKGCAGCACCCACCACGGGCGCCCCACGGCCCCTGCACGAAACCAGCCCGCTTGCAAGGGGGGAGAGGGAACACGCAATATCCCCTCCCCCCGATAATCCAGCAGGGAAAGCAGCCCCGCTCGCCCCTCACTTCCCCGTGAGCGAGACCCCAAGCCAGGCGGCCATAAGCGCGGCCACACACACAGCTGCACGCATATACATGGTGGGGGGTATACGKGCATATAGAGATACAGCCCCGGATTTATAACCACAGAGCCAACGCGGACGAACGTGTGCGGGCACAGGCGCACGCATGGAGAGGCACGCACACGCATGCATATACGGAACCCCCCATATATACGCCCGCGTGTGCACGCCCGCCGTGCACGGAGGTGCCGCCGGGCACACGTCGGTGCGTGGCACAGCGGTCCGYACGGCCCCGCGCGAGCCCGGCCGCCGGCCTTACCCAGGACAGCATCCGCAGCAGCGTGTGCGGCTGCCGCACGAAGGCGTGCGGGTCGAAGGCGCCGCCGGCCTTGCCCGCGCCGAACGCGCCGCCGTCCATGGCGCCGCTCGGAGGGGAAGGCGGGTGAGGGGC